TTCTCCTTCGTCCGAAGAATTTCTGCCTCATCATCACCGGTTATGATCAAGTCATCCACATACACTAGCACGATAGCTAGCTTTCCTTCATTGGCTTTGACAAACAAGCTGGAATCTGCAGGTGTTACTGAATAACCACTTTGTGTTAGAAACTCTGCAATCTTACCGTACCACGCTCTTGGTGCTTGTTTCAAACCGTAGAGTGCTTTCCTTAACTTGCACACGTACTCAGGATGAGCTTCGCTTTTAAAGCCCATTGGCTGCATCATGTAGATCTCCCGATCTAACTCTCCATGCAAGAAAGCATTCTTCACATCCATTTGGTATAGATTCCAATCTTTGTTAGCTGCAAGTGCAAGTAGGACTCGTACTGTTGTAAGTTTTGCCACTGGACTAAACGTTTCATCATAGTCTAGTCTGTACTGTTGAGAAAAACCACGAGCTACTAGTCGTGCCTTGTACCTCTCGATTGACCCATCTGGACGACGCTTTATCTTGTAAACCCACTTACAGGATATGGGTTTGACATCTCTTGGCTTTGGTACCAGATCCCAAGTTTGATTTTGCTCAAGTGCATCAAGCTCTTCTTTCATAACTGTCATCCACTCAGAACTCTGTGATGCTTCTTCGAACATCTCAGGTTCTGTTGCTTCTTCAATTATGGCTGCATTGGCGTATTTGGGATTTGGTCTCCGTGCTCTTGTTGACCTTCGGAGTTGAGATTGTGGAGTTGATTCTTCCGGTACACTAGGCCCACCTTCTTCGTCTGGTTGTTGATACATGCCAGTTTGCCAAGGATTCTGAGTCACTCTCTGTTCGACATCATCGTCATTTGGATCTCCTGATTCATCTGAACTTGGTTGGAGTTGGATAGTATGCTCCCTCATCTTCTGTTGCAGCTTTTCTCCAAATTCTCTAGAGTCTGGTAGCACCTCATTCTCTGATGACCACCAAGAAGACGCTTCATCAAACACCACATCTCGTGAAGTGTAGCACCTTCCACTTGTTGGATCACAACATTTCCACCCCTTTCTCTGGCTGTCGTATCCCACAAAGATACATCTAACAGCTTTCTTGTCAAATTTGGTCAGTAAATGATCAGGAACAAATACATAACATACACAGCCAAATACTCGAAAATAGCTAACTGTAGGTTTCATGTTCCACAGATTCTCAAAGGGAGAAACAAATCCTAACCTTGGTTGAGGAAGTCTGTTGATCACAAAGGCTGCAATCCTCATTGCTTCAGCCCAAAACCTTCCCGGTACGTTCTTTGCATGTAGCATACTTCGACAGACTTCTGCAAGATGCCGGTTCTTTCTCTCAGCTACACCATTTTGTTGTGGTGTGTTGGCACAAGTGTACTGATGATGTATTCGACATTCCCTTAGGTATTGAGAGAACTCACTTGAGCTATATTCTCCCCCGTTATCTGTGCGCAGGCAACGGATCTTCTTTCCCACTTCTCCTTCGGCTGACTCTCTGAACTCTTTAAACTTTGAGAATGTGTCAGATTTTTCTTTCATAAAGAAGACCCACACATACCTTGAGAAGTCATCAATGAATGTTACCATGTACCGCATACCACCAACGGACGGTTGCTTAACTGGTCCAAACACATCAAAGTGAACTAACTCTAATGGTTCTTTTGCTTTAAACTTCGATTCCTCATATGGCAATTGGTGTGCTTTATCATACTGGCATCCTGCACATACTGTGTCTGTTCGCACGTCCAGTTGAGGAAGCCCCTTAAGCATCGACTTTTTCACCATCACACTTAGCTTGGAATAGCTAACGTGACCTAACCGCATGTGCCATAGATCTGATGTCTTATTTTTCCTTGTCCTGTCTACATATGCAGATTTTGCTGATATTACGTAGATTGACTCCAATCGTCGCCCCTCCATTGTGGGTGTTTCTGAGATTTTGAGGTCACGATACACCTTCACATCTCGTGGACCGAACAAGACATAGTGGCCTGATGATGTCAATTGAGCCACAGATAGCAAATTTTTCTTCATTCCTGGGACATGATAAACATCTTGAAGTGGCACCTGGTTAGAATTATATCGAGGCTTAACTATTGTCTTACCGATGTGAGCTATCGGTAACCTTGAGTTGTCGGCTGTCACCACCACACGACCTCCCTTGTATTCAGATAGATTTTGCAGCTTCTGTTTATCACCCGTCATATGATTTGAGCAGCCCGAATCTACGATCCAATCATTTTTGTAGTCAATGCGTTCTGGTGTTGTTACCGTGAGGGCTAATTCTTCTTCTTCCTCCGTAGCAAATAATGCTTCATCATCCCAGCCATCTTCACTATTCTCCTTCGAACTGAAAGTAGCAGTATTACTTTCCACAGGCTCTTTCTTGGTCCAACAATCTTTCGCCATGTGGCCCATCTTCCCGCAGTTGTAACACTTGCCACTAAACTTTTTACTATTACCGCGATTCTTCCAAGCTCCCCCTGGACGAGAGCCTCCATTTTCTTGGTGACTTTGCACCTTTTCTTCACTCTTCAGTGAGACTCCTCCCATTTGCTTGGCCATAGCTTCTTGACCTGCAAGCAAATTTTCAAACTCAACAAGCGATGGTTGTGTCGGCCATCCTTGTATAGCGGTAATGACCCCTCGATATTCGGGTCTCAAACCATGGATAATTATTCTCTTCATCCTGGTTTCCCCAATAGGAGCTGTTGGATCTAATTCTGAAATTTCGCCGCATATCGACTTCACCTTGTGAAAGTACTGGGCAATCGTCATGTCGCGTTGTACCATCGATAGCAGCTCATTCTCGAGAAGTTGCATTTTTGTATCGTTCCTCTTCGAAAAGAGTGTAACAAAAGTGTCCCATGCTTCCTTTGGCGTTTTAGCATCCCGAATGTGCTCCAACATTTCTTCTTCTATTGTGGTCTTTAAAGCAAACATTGATTTGCCTGCTTTAATTTTCCACTTCCGCAAGATGCCGTTAGCATCTTCCGCTGCCGGTTGTGTAGCTTCACTACCACCGACAACCTCCCACAAGTCTTGACCTTGAAGGTAAGACTCTATACACGTTGCCCACGTGTTATAGTTTTGGTTGTTGAGCTTCTTGATTCCTCCAACAACTTGAAGATCACCCATCGTATCGGCAAGACTTTGACTACACCGAACAAGCTTGAGTGACTACCGTGCAGAGTAATACACTACTCTCAACACAAAGAAGCTCCCTCTCAAGGTTTGTGATAACCCCAGCAATAATCTCAAGAAATTTTTTCTGATGTGGAAGATCAGTCAAAACTGCAACCACAGAGCATACTCGGAATTTCAAGAGACTTTACAACCAATGCTCTACCAAGAACGATCCCTGACCGACTTGGCTCTAGATACCAATTGTTGAATAAGAAGAGTATCCAAGATAACTCTAATGATCCCAAGAAGAAGAAAATAGAGCACACTCTTAAAGAAAGCTCACAAAACAAACTAATTAGCAAAGCTTTTCTTATTTAGCTCTAGGCTTTGTTTTTCCTTGGATGATATACAATGCTTGGGGACTTGGGTATTTATAGCAAACCAAATGAAAGCTACACCACACACTTAATTAAACTAAGATTATTTACTACCACACAAAACCCATTAATTGCACCTAATTTTTCCACTCAACCATACCTAACATTTGTGACATTGATTAATTGCATAGAGCACTCAACACTATATAGTACTAGATCACAGAGACGCGAAGCATATTTAGACTTAATTATATTTTGGTGTTCGATTGACAAAAAAATAAATGAAAAAAATTTGAAACATGACAAGTTTTGCCAATGAGCTTCCATTTGCATATTTGGACGGATACATTGATGGGTTTGGTCCGACCAAAGCGTTACATTTTACACTCACATAAAGATGACATGACATTAGCACGTTGTAAAACATGACAAAGTCTAAAGCAGTATATTTTACAGTAAAGCGGTATTTTTTACACTGACACAAAGATGACACAATATTTAACTCGTACAACATGACAAAGCCACAACACATATACCCTAAACCTTAAAAAGGATTGCCAGAGATGCGAAGTATACTTAGCCTTAATTATATTTTGGTGTTCGATTGACAAAAAAAAAAAAAATATGGAAACAATACAACATGACAAATTTGCCAATGAGCTTCCATTTGCATATTTGGACGGATACATTAATGGGTTTGGACGGACTATAGCATTGTTTTACACTGACACAAAGATAACACGACATTAACACGTTGTAAAACACGACAAAGTCTGAAGCATTATATTTTACACGGTCACAAAAATGACACTACATTAACACGTTGTACAACATTACAAAGTCACGTAGCAATGGCTTACAAGTCACAACACATACACCTCAAAAATGATTGTCAGAGTCAAATTTTATCAACCTTGCCCTTGGGAGCCTAGAGCGTTCAAGCCTCATATCTCACTTCTTACTTTGCAGCAAAGACAGCAAGTTTTTTCTGGGTCATCTCAGAACGTTTCAGGTAATTTTCTGCACAACCCTTTTACTTCCTCTACCATCTATTTGGCTACTGAGAAAAGTTTTCTCAGAAAACTGAGAAATGATTAATTGAAGATTCATCCCTTCTCCTATGGGTTGTTTGTTGCCAATAAAATTTCAATTGCTAATTCTATATGGAACAATCTTTCCCCAAGAGTTTTCATTGAATTTTCTTTTTCTTCCATCTTTTAGACAGCATTGCATGATATCTGTGAAGATGATGAATAGAGTTTCATTTATTTATTTTCAAATTTATCACAATTTACAGAGACAAAAAAGGGTTCTCAGTCAAAGCCTCTCATGCTAGGAAAGAAGCCAAAGCCACAAGTAATAGTTAAAGATAGGATCAGTCAATTGCCGGAACCAGTTCTTTGTCACATACTTTCCTTAATTCCAACAAAATATGCTGTGAGGACCAGCGTTCTCTCTAAAAGATGGAAGAAATTATGGGCTTTTGTTCCCAATAGACACTAATACGATGAGCATGAGTATTTTTCTGAGAGAAACAGGGACAGAAATGACTATGTGCATTTCGCGATGTTTGTTGATCATGTACTTTCCTTACATGAAACGGATATTCATATGTTCCGACTCCATTGTTCAATTGTTGAAGATTTCACTCCCATTGAAGGTTGGATTTGCTCTGCCATTGGTCGTAATGCAGTTGAATTTGATCTTCGTATTGAATTATTCAGAAATAAGATATTTCAGTTGCCTCGAAGTGTTTTCATGTACAAAAAACTGGTGGTTTTGAAGCTGAATTCAAATTGTCTAAGCTATGTTCCTCCTGAGTCAAGGTGTTTCCCAAGTCTGAAGTTCCTACATGTTACCGTCTATTTTCCTAATAATGCGTTAGCGGAAAAGCTTTTTTCATGCTGCCCTGTACTTGAAGATTTGACGATAGATGGAGTTGTTGGATATGATGTTTTGAATTTTAAAATCTCTGCGCCTGAGTTGAAGATGCTAAGAATAAGGTTAAGATTGGGGGCCCTTGGCATTGATGGTAACAATTTCTCTGTTAATGCTCCGAAGCTTGAAACACTTGATGTGACGGAGGTTATTTTTTCAAACTATAATTTAGAGGGTTCAAAGTCTATAGTTAATCTCTATCTCATTGGTGGATGTTCACATCACGGCTTCCCTAAACTTTCAGCTCCGCTTCTGGCCCGAATTTCCAAGGTTAAAGATATGTATCTTTCAGCTTTTTTGTTGAAGGTAAGCATGCCCTAACTTGTTCCATTCATGCTGTTTCGTAGAAATGACTATAGGAAGTAAATTTGTTTTTGTTTTGGAATGATAGTAAAGAAAGAGAACTGTTAAGTATAAAAAGAAAAAAAAAAAAAAAAAAAAAAAAGAAGAAGAAAAAAAAGCCCTTTTTACGTGCAAGACAACTTAGAAATAGTTTGTACACTTCTCCTTTCTTGATATTTCAAACTACATGAGGGATAAACCATCCGTTTCATCCAGCATTATGCCAGTCTTAATCGATACCCCATATATGCATAATCTTTCTTTGTACCAGACGGTGTTTGTACTGAAAGAATGCCTTTCAGTTTGGAATTTTATGATGATCTGAAATAGTTTGTTATGTATGAACAATGCTCAACTTCTTCATGGGCCGGATTTGTTAAAGCAATCAACCCCATCTCATTAAAGGACCTACACAAATCTAGAATAAAGAATTCTAGAACATTCACTAAGGTTGGTTAGCTAGATTATCCAAGTTAAAGTAGTACTTTGTAGAAATGACTAGAATGTTGTTTCTTAAGTTGGTGGAAGAGTCTAGAAGAATGGTGAGGTTTCCACCAATATGCAAGATTAGTGTAGATAATTCTAGCTTAGGAAGTTAGTAGAATTATCTAGATATCTCTAGCATAGTGTGTCCATGCTTCTCCAAGGTTCCATCCATGCCTATAAAAGGAGAAGGCATCCACACCATTTGTATTAACAAACAAATCAACAAGCAAGCTTGTGAGCAAGTGAGAGTGAGAAGAAAGAATAGTCTTGTAAGAGTGTGAGTGTTCTGGAGTTTGTCTCTAGAAAGTGAGTGAGTGTCATAGCTTTTCAAGAGTGTCTTTGATAGTTTGTGTTGTAATATTTTGTTTGTGTAATACAAGTAATTTGTTTACTTGTATTGTCTCTCCAACACTTGTGCTAGAGTTGTGTACTCTAAGTTTTTTTATCCCAACAATTGGTATCAGAGCGGTACGATCAGGGACCGTCTCTATTAAAACTTTTGAGAATCGTGAGAAGTTTAGTACTTCGCAAGATTATTCGTTAATCTTGTTTGGCTTATCGAAGCTCTGCCGACACGATGGGAGACCTTCAAGTTGTTGGAGCAATCAAGAAGTTGAACAACAAAAATTACAACACGTGGGCGACATGTATGGAGTCTTACCTACAAGGCCAAGATCTTTGGGATGTCGTCGGCGGTAATGAAGTTACGCAGCCAGAAGAAGACACTAGCGACGCTTTTAGGAAGTGGAAGATCAAGGCAGGTAAGGCCATGTTTGCCTTAAAAACCACAGTTGAAGATGACATGTTAGAGCACATACGGAAGGTCAAGACACCAAAAGAAGCATGGGACACCTTCGCCACACTCTTTTCAAAGAAGAACGATACAAGACTGCAGCTTCTCGAGAACGAGTTGTTATCAGTGGCCCAAAGGGACATGACAATTGCGCAGTATTTCCACAAGGTAAAGTCTATTTGCCGTGAAATTTCTGAATTAGATCCTAGTGCTGCCATTGTAGAATCCAGGATAAAAAGAATAATTATCCATGGATTGAGACCCGAATATCGAGGCTTCGTTGCCGCTGTATAAGGATGGCCGACCCAACCATCACTTGTTGAGTTCGAGAATTTGCTTGCCGATCAAGAAGTTTTGGCAAAGCAAATGGGAGGGGTCTCGTTAAAAGGTGAGGAGGAAGCGCTCTACACCAAAAGTAAAGGCAGCTTTAAGCAGCGTGCTGGTGGTGGATCTAAAAGAAATGGTGACAAGGAAAAAGGTCATCAAGGAAGAGGGAGTTCTCGGCCAGGGGGAGCTCCGAAGTATCACGGCAATCGTGGTCAGTCCCAGAATAATAAAAGATTTGAGGGCAAGTGTTACAATTGTGGAAAGAATGGTCACATGGCGAATGATTGCTGGTTCAAAAGGCCTGCAGAAAGTAACGTCGCCAACTCAGAGAAGAAAAGTGAAGATGATTGGGACGTCATTGCGTCTCTAGCCCTGGAGGAACAATGGGACGGTGAAGCATTTATTGCTACAGAGAAGAAAGAGTCAGCTCTCACAGCAACAAGTTTGGAGTCAATTGACTACCAGAATGATTGGATCGTGGATTCAGGCTGCTCAAACCATATGACAGGTGATGAGAAAAAGTTACAAAGTCTGACTGAGTACAAAGGAGGCCGCTTAGTGGTGACGGCTAATGACTCGAGGCTACCGATTGCTCACATCGGTAAAACAGTAATTGAGCCCCGATACAGCACTAACCATGTGCCGCTTCAAGATGTCTACCATGTTCCAGGTATGAAGAAAAATCTGCTTTCAGTGCCGCAACTGACGTCGTTGAGAAATTATGTCTTGTTTGGTCCACGAGATGTGAAGGTGTATCGACACCTCAAGATCTTAAGGACGCCAACAATGGAGGGACAGCGACTACAGTCAGTCTATGTAATGTCAGCAGAAACTGCATACATAGACAAGACAAGGAAAAACAAGACAGCAGATTTATGGCACATGAGATTGGGACACGTTAGCTATCACAAGCTAAATGTGATGATGAAGAAGTCAATGCTTAAGGGGCTACCTCAGCTTGACGTGAGAACATACACGGTTTGTGCAGGATGCCAGTATGGTAAAGCACATCAACTACCATACGAAGAGTCAAAGTTTAAAGCGAAAGAGGCATTGGAGTTGGTTCATTCTGATGTGTTCGGGCCCATCAAGCAACCATCGATAAGTGGGATGCGGTACATGGTGACGTTCATTGATGACTTCTCGAGGTATGTGTGGGTTTTCTTTATGAAAGAAAAATCTGAAACATTTTCAAAATTTAAAGAGTTTAAGGAGACAATTGAAGGAGAAGTAGGAAAGAAGATCTGTTGCATACGCACAGATAATGGAGGAGAATATACCTCGAATGAGTTTTCCCAGTATCTACAAGAATGTAGAATACGTCACCAGTTCACCTGTGCCAATACGCCACAACAGAATGGCGTAGCGGAAAGAAAGAACCGGCATCTTGCAGAAATATGTCGAAGTATGCTCCATGCCAAGAATGTACCAGGAAGGTTTTGGGCCGAAGCAATGAGAACTGCAACTTATGTGATCAACAGGCTTCCTCAACCCAGGTTAGAATTTGTCTCACCCTTTGAGAAACTGTGGGATATGAAACCTACAGTTAGTTACTTTCGAGTCTTTGGCTGTGTGTGTTACGTATTTGTTCCAAGTCATTTACGTAGCAAGTTTGACAAGAAGGCAGTCCGATGTATCTTTGTGGGATACAACAGCCAAAGAAAAGGGTGGAAATGTTGTGATCCTACGAATGGAAGGTGTTACACATCACGAGATGTGGTGTTTGATGAAGCATCTTCTTGGTGGTCCTCAGAAAAGGAGGCGCTGCCTGATTCAAGAGAGATAGAAGATAAGTTGCAGCAAAAGATGGGGGAGCAAATTGTTCGAATCCAGTCGAGACTAGATGAGTCTGAAGATTCGCTTGATGGTGATGATGTTGAGCAAGCAGTACCCCAAAACCCTTGGCAAGCTGACGTATATCAACAACCAGAAGAAGATAGACCTAGTGAAGTGGAAGTATCAACTCCACAAGCACAACTAAGGAGGTCAACAAGAATCCGGAAGCAAAATCCAAGATACGTCAACGCAGTCATAGAAGAAGAAGCAACTGGACCTGAGTGCTTAAAAGTTGAGAGAAGAGGTCGATGCGTTAAAGAAATATCAAATTTGGGATCCAGTGGCAAGGCTAAGAAATGTGAAACCCATCTCATACAAATGGGTGTTCAAGATGAAGCGTTGTCAACCCAGCGTAGAGTAAAGAATGAGATGGTGTTGAAGGGGAGTGTTAAAGCAATCAACCCCATCTCATTAAAGGACCTGCACAAATCTAGAATAAAGAATTCTAGAACATTCACTAAGGTTAGTTAGCTAGATTATCCAAGTTAAAGTAGTACTTTGTAGAAATGACTAGAATGTTGTTTCTTAAGTTGGTGGAAGAGTCTAGAAGAATGGTGAGGTTTCCACCAATATGCAAGATTAGTGTAGATAATTCTAGCTTAGGAAGTTAATAGAATTATCTAGATATCTCTAGCATAGTGTGTCCATGCTTCTCCAAGGTTCCATCCATGCCTATAAAAGGAGAAGGCATCCACACCATTTGTATTAACAAACAAATCAACAAGCAAGCTTGTGAGAAAGTGAGAGTGAGAAGAAAGAATAGTCTTGTAAGAGTGTGAGTGTTCTAGAGTTTGTCTCTAGAAAGTGAGTGAGTGTCATAGCTTCTCAAGAGTGTCTTTGATAGTTTGTGTTGTAATATTTTGTTTGTGTAATACAAGTAATTTGTTTACTTGTATTGTCTCTCCAACACTTGTGCTAGAGTTGTGTACTCTAAGTTTTTTCATCCCAACAGGATTATGTTTGATTAACACTTTCGTCTTACACAAAGGGTTGTAGTCTGCCTGCTTTTGGTAACTTGAGCGAACTGAAACTGGTTGTTCGTAATCGCTACCATTGGGAATTGCTAACAGAGCTGCTCAAGAGATCGCCTAAACTGGAACATCTTGTCATAGAACATGAACACGTAAGATGTGTATTTCCATATGTGCTATATGATACCAACATGTAGCTCTTTATATTTTGTTCTCATTTCATCATTCTTTTTTAAATAACCTGCAGGAACTGTGCTGCACTACATTCTCTGACGATGAAGAAGAGGTTGAAGAATACTCAACGGTATACCTAGGACCTCAATGGAATACACCAGAGACGGTGCCTATTTGTGTGTCATCACACCTCAAGACTATCACGATAAGGGGATTCGGTGGAGGCTATGATGAGATGGAAGTGGCAAAGTATTTGTTAGAGAACGGCAAAGTTCTGAATAAGATGGTTATTTATAGTTTCGTTTTCTCTTGTGGAAGTGAGAAGCTAGACAAGGAAATCGTGATGTTCCAAACTGGTTCAAGGACTTGCCAAGTCGAATTTTTCTGAGATGCGATTTTTAGCTGTTACAACATGTGTAATTCTTGTTGTAAGAAGGATTAATCAAACTTGTAAATTAAAGCACCATCCTTGTTAATCTGAAGATGAATAGATTTTCAATCATTTATTTTCCATTGCAAATGTTTCTTATCCACTTTGTTTAGCTTCTTAAAGTCTCGGAATTTTGATGGCATGCTAATATATATATCTGAAAAATGCTAAAATTTACATGTGTGTGTAGGACATGACGAAGGAGATTAAGGTAGCAGACTGTAGTTTAGAACATGATCAAGGAAAGTTAATCTGCTCACAGTTTTCATGCTCTCTAGATTCTTTTAGGAATAATGCTTAGCTCCACATGGTTGAGGAGGATTGAGGAGGATCTCCTCTTCAAAACACTTAATGGCCGATTTACAGAACTATGTGCTGATAATTGAAATTGTTCATATTAATAATCACTTTGTAAAGATCAATTATGCAAAAAGTCAATTAAAACTAAGGTCGTTTAGTCAATCAATTGTAATAAAAAGATAGACTGTCTGTTTTTTTATACAATTCTGTGACTAATTGATTTCATGTTTCATTGATTTTTAGCAGAGATGATATTTGCAAAATGATTTAAAAAATTAACGGTTCTGATCTTAAACATGAAGTTTCAATCTATTTGTTGAAGAATGGTGACGTATTGCATAAGAACATCAAGATATTTTGAGTTGCAATAAGTTGACATGTTGGACATCAAGGGAATACGTTTCCTTTATGGCTAGGGTGGTGATAGCAGGATGATGGTTTCTTTTAATATCATTTCTTAAGCAAGCGGAAATGGAGTGGTGCATCAAGGTGAATTTATTTTCACACTAAAAGCTTTGTTGTCTATATCAAAAAAGCTACGATTCTGCTTGAACGGTCCAGTCCTATTGTTTCCTAGCAATAAAAAGATTGAGGATCACTTTTCTTTTTAGGTTTAAGGAAGCCAAGGCACTCATCACATTGGATGATTCTTTGGCCGGGTGATCAGGTGGTCCGGTTGCCCATGCCAAATAATCTTTGGAATTCATCATTCTTATGAGTTTACAACTTTCAATTGCCAATCTAATCAATCTAATAAAACAATTGCTGAAAAAAAAAAAAAAAAAAAGAATCCCACGTAAAAAGACTTATCTAACATTCTTATACAAATGTAGCTACAAATAGGAGGAGTGCAAGGGGTAGTGTGGAAAGCATTTTTTATCGACCGTATGAGTGAACTTCGTTCATAACAAAAAAAGATACATCTAATCGGGCTGGCACAACGAGCCTTACTGCTCAAAATGCATCTAATACGCATAGATAGAAACCAAACATAAAAAGACAATTATAAATAAACATGCAATGCAAATACAAACCCATATTTAATAAGTAGCTCCCTTCGAGTCATTATAAGAGTTGAAACCCTTAATTATCTATACTGTTATAAAACCGTCCTCCATCTTAATCTGAAGTTGAAATCGTTCTCTTCTTTTGCTCTCGGCTCTCGCTGGGTTTACATGGAGTAGATATCTATGGAGAATGAAGATAAATAGATTGTTTAAGTTTCTGAGTAGCAAAATAGAGCGGAATAATAGTAGTTTTTTAATTATTAGTTTTGTTTTCATCTTCATCAAAATGTTCAGATATACAAAAGTCAAGAAATTATCATGTACTATTCTCCTCTCCTTCAGTTGATAACAAACTAAAACACATAAATGCTTTACTTTTTCTTTGAAATTTTGCAGTGTAAATGTCTTTAAGTACCAAATTTGCAAAAGTGATTGAATTGAATATACTTTTTGTTGTGAAAAAAGAATTAGGGTGCAAATGAGTAAAGCAAGAGTTAAATACAGGATCAATGGATTACCGGACCAGTTCTTTGCCACATGCTTTCCTTCCTTCCAACAAAATACGCGATGAGGTGCAGCATTCTGTCTACAAGATGGAAAAACATATCTACGAAAACAAAGATAAGTTGACACTGTTGGTTGTACGAGTTTTGTTGGCCATGTACTTTACTTTCCCGGCTCAACAGGCATTCGGAAAATTTGTCTTCATTGTTCCTATGTTAGGGATTACACTCGTATTGATGGTTGGATTCGCACTGCCATTACGTGTAATGCTCATGAACTTGATGTTATATACCTTCGATTGGATGTTACCTTCAATTAAGTAACCCCATGGTTCCCACCCCAAGGTATTGCGTCCCCGGCTCCCCTTGGGTGAGTCACGCTGTCAGGTTACCCAAACCAACAAATATATATAAGTAAAAGGGATAAAACCTTTCAATTTATTCAGTTTACTTCCTAACATACTAAATTGTTAACAATTGAAACCACACTAGTTCAAAGTTCAAACTATTAGTACATTCCAGTGACTGAGGACAGAGCGGGGGAAAATTGATCTGATTAAGTTAAAATGTTTGAAAGGTTGGGTCATGTTTTGAATGAGACCCAAACCTCAGGGTGTATTTTATAATTAGCTAAAAGATTATGGAAGGGAAGGAGCAAAACGGTGAGTTTAGTAAAAGAGTGTGTTAGTGTATTTTATAGACTCACGTTGCTCTCATATTCTCGCCGATTCTCACCAACCAAACACAGCCTACCGTTCGCAGCCATTAGGGTTTTACTGGGGCAGCTATCTTGGACCGTTTCAGGTACCTTTCTTTTCTAACCCTGTAAATTCTCTATCATCTGTTTGGTTAACTAGAAATTGTAATCGTTTTTTTTTTCTTTCAGTTCTTACAATAGGGTGCAGTTTTGCTCACTGGAGTAATGATAATGCGCAACACCCTATTAACTATCGTGAATAAGTTTAAATTTTGAGATTTGTGTCTATCCACCACACAGATTTCGAAATTTGAACTCATTTAACGTTGGTAAATATGGTTGTGAGCATTAACATTACTTGAATGTGGGAAACAAAAATATTCCCCTTACAATAAGGTTCCATTCAATATTTTGTTCTTGGCTCTGCTTGTTTCGGTATAATTTATTTTCCTTACCTCTCTAAAAGGGGGCATTTCACGAGTACTTAGTCGGGATCTCAAAGTTTGTTGGGCGGGATTTACTTTACGAAATAATTTTCGAAAGAGAAGGGAAAAGATTTTCAAACTCTTTATTTGTTCTCCTGTGCTTCCCTCCTTGTCTATGTCCATTAATTCACTCTTGATTTATTCAATCTTAAGGTTATAAATAGATGGGGGTGGGGGGTGACTAATGAGCATGGCTCAAAATGTACCTAGTTAACACATATAGATAGAAACTAACAGTAAAAAATTAAAGACAATCATTAATAAACATGTAACACAAATACAAAATAACAATATTTGAGTAGCACCGTTCGAGTCTTTAATTCCAAGTGTTAAAAACATTAATTATCGATACTATTAGTAGTCCTCCATCTCATCCTGAAGTCGATTTTTAACAATCAGTGAGTAATTGTTCTCTCATGTACAAAGGGTCGGGTAGTTTTAGCTGCATTGTGAGATACTCAAGTAGGTTTTTCTTTCTTTCCAAAGTTCAGTATGGACAGCCCTTAATGTACGTAGCTTCATCCATGTAGTTATCTGAGAATAATGAAAATAAATAGACTGTTTAAGTTTCTGAATAGCTAGATGGAGCGTAAATTATAAAGTTCTTAATTTTTGTTTTGTTTTCATTTTTATCAAATATATCGCGCGTTCAGATATATAAAAGTTTAGGAATTATCATGTATTCTCTTCTGCTTCAGTTGCCAACGAACTAAAACCCAAAAACGAGTTGTTTATGTTTTCTTTGAAATTTTGGGTGTGAACTTCCTTAAGCACCATATCTGCAAAAGTTTTTTTTTTTTTTTGAACAAAAGATATTATCTATACAAAAAGGGAAGGGGTGAGCTTAGTCTCACAATGAGCTAGCAATAATATGATTCAAACTCGCCTTTGGCGAGATTCAAATCTAAGACCTCTCATTTACAAGTAAAGAGGAATATCACTAGACCGTAGTACTAAATGGCTTATCTGAAAAGTTATTAAATTGACCATTTTCTTTGTTGTGAAAAAACACCAGGATACAAATGAGTAACCCAAGCGTTAAAGATAGGATCAGTGGGTTGCCCGATCCAGTTCTTTGCCATATGCTTTCCTTCCTGCCAACAAAATGTGCGATGAGGTGCAGCATTCTGTCTACTAGATGGAAGAACATATGGGATTCCGTTCCGCATCTAGACTTCGAAAACAAAGATAAGTCTGACAGTGTTGGTTTTATGAATTTTGTTGACCATATACTTAACTTTCCCGGCTCAGTAGACATTCAGAAATTTCGTCTTCATTGTTCCTGTGTTGGGGATTACACTCGTATTGATGGTTGGATTCGCACTGCCATTAGGCGTAAGGCCGTTGAACTAGATATTGGTGTATCTAATACGGGCAAGACTTTGGAGTTACCCAAAAGCGTTTTCATGTGCAAAACACTGGTGGTCTTAAAGGTGAAGTCAAATGTTATTACCTACAATCCACCCACATCTGGGTGTTTCCCAAGTCTCAAGTTTCTCCATATCACAGCTGAAGGTCCCTACTGTGACTCAGTGGAAAATCTCTTATCCTGTTGCCCGGTACTTGAAGATTTGGTAATAGATATAACGCTTGGTGTTCGAAATTGCAATTTCAAGATCTCTGCTTCTGAACTAAAGAGGCTAAGTATAACATTCCACCATTTATTGATTCAATTAGGTGGGGAGAAAGTCTTTATTAATGCCCCGAAGCTTGAAAACTTTGACGTTAAGGAGGATATTTTGGCCAATTATTGTTTGGAGAATGCGAAGTCCCTTGTCAAAGCCAATGTCGATCTCTGTTGCTATTGTGTACATCGAGATGTAAAATTTGTAACAAATGCAACTGCACTCCTGGCAGGGATATCCAATGTCAAATGTCTATGTCTTTCGGCTCGTGTTTTGCGGGTGAGTATGCCCCAACTTTTAATACTGTTTGGTAGAGAGGAGTATAGGAAGAAAGGGTAAGTGCTTAATTATGCATCAGTTTATGTTTTTATCAAAAGTTTATTTTCCATGCAGGATCATTGTCTGCCGGCTTTTGATAATTTGAGCGAGTTGAAGCTGGTTCTATATGATTTCTATAACTGGGATTTGCTCATGAAGTTGCTCGATAAATCACCTAATTTGGAACATCTTGTCTTAGAACACAAAGAAGTAAGATTTTCCTTCCACCCATGTATCGCACTAACACGCAGCTCTTTACTATTCTCATTTCATTTATGTTTTCAGGACAGGGACTATGTTCAACACTACTCGTTTGGACAACGCTCAAATTTTAAACGTAAACTACCCTCAGAGCTTCGATGGCATACACCGGAGTATGTGCCTGCCTGTTTGACATCACACCTCAAGACTATCACCATAAGAGGATTCAAGGGATATCAGCATGAGAAGAAAGTGGCAAGGTTTTTGTTCGAGAATGGTATTGTTTTGGATAAGATGGCTATTTATAATGATTTTGGTGAGGAATTTACATTGTTCCAGAGGGGTTTGGGGACTTGTCTAGCTATTTGAATTCGGTGTGAAACACAATCATCGTTCTATATATGGAGTTTGGATTGATCATTCTCTCATCGATGTTGTAAACTAGAGAAACGTCTTTGTTGGTCTTTCGATGGATTATGAAGATATTTATGGAATTCCCGACTTTATATTTTTCGTTATTTCTTGTTGATGAGCAACCTTTGCCTAACTATGAAATTCAACTAATCTATGAAGCACGGATACATATATGGTGATACGATACGGTACAGTAATACGGTAAAGTTTAAAGACTAGGACACGATAGAACATGGATACAACAGTTATAGCAACATTTATTGATCTTAAGATGGAATCCATTTGCATAGTTTTTTTTTTTTTTGGTGAATATTTGCATAGTTTTTGTTTTGCATGCTATATGTTTCCTATCGATTTTATTGAGCTTCTTCAGACCAATTGTTCCTAGTCAGAGTAATAGTATCAAGCCAGATTGCCTTGTTCATTTCTTTCCCATCATGACCATAAGATTGATATGAAGATGCCATGAATCATTACTTTTCTTTAAGTCAGAGGAGAGCATAACTTCTACAACCAAAACTTGGAGAATGACCTACATGAACAAGTTTACTGCAACATGGTGTCTCGGTTCAATAATTCATTGTTACGCTTAAGTTTGTTTCTACATGACAATGCATTATTGAATCCAGACGCATATTATTGAATTGGGATTTCAATTCTCGTTTGATACAAAGTATATGTGTAAAGAGAAATTGACTTAAGGACCTCAAATGCAACAATGACGGCATTTTACCAACTACTTGGAAGCAAATTTCATTTTTAACCTTTCCACTAACTCTTTCAGTCACATTACCAAGTCACCAACGCTGCAAAGCCCCAACAAAACCCCTCAAAGACTTCTTCAACCTCCAAACACCCTCAAACCCATCGCCCATGGCTCCCTTCAGAACCCTCTTTTCATTTCCCTAACAACCCACAAACCCTTCTCACGCTTCTCCATCGCCTACAGATTCTTCACATCCACACACCAAACCGAAAACCAAACCAGACCCAGAAAGCCTCTGGACCTCCTCTTCAAAGAGGCCGTCGAGCTCTCCCCAAAACCCGAAAACTCCGACAGCGAAGCTGAAACCAAAGACAACCAGTTGAAGAAGAGCTTGAGGGATTTGGAGGAGGAGGTCAGGAGCTTGAGAGCCGAAAACAAAGTGAAGAACAGAGAACCCAAATCGGATTCTGAGGGCGAAGTCAGTTTATACGCAGTGTTCACGAACAAGAAGCCAGCGGATGGCGGCGGTAGGAAGCGGAAAGAGGTTACGAGAGAGAGGTCGAATGTGTTGAAGGATTTGTCGCAGGATATGGAAGTGGTGGCGAGCCATTTGTTCAAAGAAGGGTACTTTAAAGATGCCAATTTCTTGTTTGTGAATGGTGATAGGTTGGATTTTAGCAGCTTCAACAACAGCTACGGCTGCAGTTTCATAAGGTTTACGGTCGAAAGTTTTGCCAGAGACAACCAGGCAATTGCAAAGTAAGCCTGCAGTTTCATAAGGTTTGCGGTCGAAAGTTTTGCCAGAGACAACCAGGTGATTGCAAAGTAAGCATTTTTACCTTATATTTTTCAAATTTGTTTTTGTTAGCTCCATTTGCTTCTGTATATTTGTTTACTTGGATGTTTATGAGTTAATGATTTCATCAAGTTGCTATAACTACTTTATGCGCAATATTGCCATTTATTGCTAGTAATTTCTGTTAGATAGTTTCTAATCAGTAATCTCCATATCTATGCTCTTGAAATTTGGTCTTCCAGATGGTTGTCAGGCTCGGACTTGAAAAAGGTGGCCCTCCTTGGTTGCCCTTCCCCTGCAAGAAAGAGTGACATTCCAGAAGACAAAGTGAGCAATTATCCAATTATTCTTTCCCTCCCCCAGTATATTTCAGCTCAATTAATTGTTGTTTTTTGTTTTTCGTCACCTTCCAGTTTGCAGTAAATGTGTCTTGAAACAGTCGTGCAAGCTTGCAAATCAGAATGTGTGGAACGGAGGCGCCAAGAATTTGTATCTTAGAGATGTTATGAATACTATCACATTACATGCCCTGGATACTGTGCCTCCAGAGCTGGTTGTCCCCGACGAAGTTAAGTCTTCTGTTAGTCGACTGCTAAAGGAGGTTTTGAAGCCAAGTCAAGCTACTTTGTGAGGCTATTTAGGATGTGCGCATGATGCTCCCGGTAAAATGAGGCTCATTGTCTTTGGTTATTGCTTTCTTTTGGTGCCATTTTGATTACTTTCAGTCCGAACCCTTTTCTTTTTATATAGCAAGGATTGAGGTGCGATGCTTTCGAAAGAATCCAACCCTCCCTGGAATTCGATATGCTATGCCCGCTGTCCTATTTGCTTGTCCTGATCAACGCTCAACCCGATGCCAAGGAATTCAAGCGATGTTCAAGAATAATGCACATGTCCAACTCTAAGTTGACTTGCAACATTCTGTTGAAAGCGTAATTTAACTCATGCTCAAGTCCATTAACATGTTCTGTGCATAAAGAATCACATTCTACGCATTTTTACTCGTTTTTCGATTTTGTTTTGTTCATCCAAGTTCCATCAGTGATGGACCGGACAAGGTTATCGACTTGTTTCTATCTTGGGCATCCAAAGATCTTCTTGATTGCTTCATTTGGTCCTCACCATGTGCTGATATCTGCTATCCAACCGACCATATATTCTGTTCAGGAACAGCAGTTGGGTTGTAGGCAGGCAAAACAGAATGCATATATCTAAACAGAAACATAGAATGTTATTGAGCGGGAATCAAACTCGAGACCTCTAGTGCTAAATACACACGGTGTTGCCATGTGCATTTTAATTTAATCTTAAGCCCTCTGACAAATTGAGAGCATAAGATCAAAGTATTCTGATATATTCTGAATCTCTGTGATGTTGTCATGTGTAATTTATCTATTAATTACAATTTTGCAAGTCAAGGTGCTTTGTTTAATAACAAGAACTAGTGAAGTCGGCACCATAATGTATCATTAATAAAAAATTTATTCTTATATATATCGGTTCGTGATTTTGTCAAGCTGAAAATTTTATTCTAAAATTGGATTAAGATGGGTGCTTTATGGCTAAATTTCTAAATTAAATTTATAAACTAAATAATTTATCATTAATAAAAAAATAACTACTTTAATCAACTTTTAATAATTTAATCATTAATAATCATATATTTTAATTTAAAAAATTCACTTTAAAATTTAATCTTCCAAATATCATTATTGTATGTGGAATGAAAACAGACTTTGCAAAAGCTTTTGTTCTTTGATTTTTGGGTAAATTATATTTTCATACCTCAGGTTTGGGGCCTAATTCAATTCTTTACAACATCTTCAAAACATTTCACTTTCATACCTTAAGTACTATTTTATTTCAAAATAATACATCCGTTACATTTTTTATCCATTGATCCGTTAAGTGCTGACATGGCTGCCAAATATATGCCACGTGGCTACCAAATGTCTGACACGTGGAAAAAAAAAATTTTTAATTTTTTTTAATAAACCTAAATCTTCTAAATATTAAAAAATAAAAAAACCTAAACCCCATTCCCTTTCCCCTTCCCTGCAACCCCCAACCCAAACCCTAAATCTCATGTCTTCTCCGATCCACTCTTCCCTGTTAACCTCTCCGACCCACTTCGTCTTCTCCACCCTAGTGCGCTATGTTCATGCCGCCAATGGCGAGAGATTCGAGCTGGTCGAATCCGAAGGTGGTGGGGCCGATGGTGCATACGAGCTTGGTGTGCCTGGTGGAACGGAATCCGTTCTCCCGGAGCTCAGCTTCGATGACGGTGTCGACCTCGATGAAGTTGGAGAGAGCATGGTTAGAGTGCGAAGAAGGGGATTGGAGCCCCGAGGAGGACGTGCCGTTGTCGGTAACGAGAACGGAAGGCTCGGGATCGGAGGAGGAGGCTCTGATGGAAAGCTTTGGGAAAAAATGGGTGGTGGTTTTGGTGGTGGTGGTGATGACCGGCAACCGGCGATTGAAGTTGGAGAGGAAGGAGGAGTGGTGCTTTGAGATGGCGAGGTTGGACGGGGTGAGGAGATGTATGGACTGCAACATTGTGACTAGGGGTGAGCGGCTGTGAATGATCATGGAGGGAGAACGTGGGGGTTTAAAGGGGGTGGACGGAGCTACCGAAGCGAAGAGAGAGCTCTGGGAGGAGTTTCCAAAGCGAGGAAATGAGGAAAGACAAAAGTAGCTGGACTGATGGGTAGTGGGTCGGGGAGGTGAACAGGGAAGAGTGGATTGAAGAAGACATGGGATTTAGGGTTTGGGTAAGGGGTTGTAGGGAAGGGGAAAGGGAATGAGGTTTAGGGATTTATTTATTTTTTTTTTTTTTAAATATTTAGAAGATTTAGGCTTATTAAAAAAAATTAAAAAATTTTTTTTTTTGCCATGTGGCAGGCATTTGGCAACCACGTGGCATATATGTAGCAGCCACGTCAGCACTTAACTGATCAATAGATGGAAAATGTAACGGAGGTATTATTTTGAACTAAAATAGTACTTAAGGTATGAAAGTGAAATGTTTTGAAGATATTGTAAGAAATTGAAATAGATTACAAACCTGAGATATGAAAATATAATTTACCCTTAATTTTTGGCTGCGCTTCGCGTTGGCGAGATGTGGGCCCAGAGGATGGTGCTGTTGGCGTGGGGTCACGTGAAACTCCTGCCACGCATGACGCATGACGCATGCATCGCGATTGGGAAGGAGCAAACACCGGGTCCCAGATTGGAAAAAACAAAAACAAAAAAACACCGGGCCCCAGAGCAGTCCGACACGTGCTTGCTTATTTTCTTTTTCCTCCGAAAACAAAAAATAATTGCCACAAAAACGACGAATTGTTTGGACTGTTTGTGCTTGTAGACGGAGACGGTCTGCGTGACCAATGGCAGAGTCGTAAAATAACGACTAAATAAGACCGAATACGTATCCTCTCCTCTCTATTACAAATCGCAGCATTCATGCTGTTGCTTTCACTTCTCATTGTCCCGGGGTTTCATCAAAACCGCACTCCCTTCCGATTCCGACACCGCTCTCCCATCAGCCCCTCAACCCGACCCGATTTCAAACCTCTCACATAGATCCGATCCAATTCACTGATCCTCCGCAAAATTCAAATCCCCGGGCGACTCCAGCTCACTCCAATTCTTCCGTTCAACGCCGCTGTCTCGCCGGAGCTTCTTCCCTCGGCTTCCGAAGACTCAATTCTCTCGCTGCTCATCAGTTCTCAGCTCAAATTTCTCTGCGTGCGGCGTCTTTTCGGTTCCAGCTAGCAACGAAGGGCTGCTCGATTGGAGATGACGTCGGGGACGCGAATGCCGACGTGGAAGGAGAGAGAGAACAACAAGAGAAGAGAGAGGAGGCGGAGGGCCATAGCGGCGAAGATCTTTGCCGGCCTGAGATTGTACGGCAACTACAAGCTCCCCAAGCACTGCGACAACAATGAGGTCCTCAAGGCTCTCTGCGACGAAGCCGGTTGGACCGTCGAATTGGACGGCACCACTTACCGCAAGGTAAAAGAACAAAATTCAATTCTTTTCAACTGCTGTTCAATTGTTCATTACGAGTATTTGATAAGTTTTTACCGCGATGATTGATTGATTGATTCTTAATTTCGTTGACAAACTCAACCAAATTATTAACTTTGAACGGTAGTTATCGTTAAGCTTTTAGCTCCGCCGACCGCACATGTTAGCGGCTTGTGCTAGCATGTGCGGGACGGAGCGGGAATTGGTTGGCAATGGTGATCATCTGCAACATGTATTGGCGCATTTTAGCATAAGTAGCTAACTTACACAGGGGTGCAGCGGTTCATGTTTGCCGGGAAAGTGTCCGGAATCAAGGCAGACGGATAAATGGGAGGCGCTTTGGCTAACATGAGCTGGTGTTACCGGCACACGTTAGCCGGGGGTAACAATTCAGAGAGTTCGGTCATCGGCGTACGTTAGATCTAGTCAGCCCTGTTGTTTTTGTTTGTTGGCTTTGGACCTTTAGCTCCTCTCTTCTTTTTTACTTTTTCTTTTTCGTGAAATCCCTTTTGCGCGTGGGAGCACCACACACAGAGTCTCTGTGCTTTTCTGTAGAGGGAGACTCTGTTGTCTGAAACCCCAGGGGAGCTATGGAGATCTCGAGGCGACGAAGATGCCCCTTTACAAATTATTTTCGAACTTTACTGCCTAAAATGCCCACTTGCTTTGTGTGCCATTGTCTGAAGTTTTGATCTTTTTTGTGTGTTCACTGCTTTGGTTAGTGCTAAGCCTTTTACTTTGTCAAGGGAAACAGAGGCAGAGCCTTTTCTGGGTTGTGCTCGGTTTCTGTTTTAGAGATTTCGTTTATCGATAACTCGCAGTTATTGAGTTTAATAACCCTTAATTAATTGTCACTCGTCTACATATAATAAAACTTTTTACTACTGTAATATGATAATATCCTTAATTAAATTGCTTATTAGATAAGGTACCTTTCTTTTCCACTTTGTGGGAATAGCAAGATTTACTACGGAATTCTCTGATTATACAGAGTCAAAAGCCAATGTAGAGTAATTTTGTGAGTATTTAGAATCATGCCTTATAAGTGCAATGTTGGAGTATGTGGTCAAGTGGACAAGTGTCCAAAAAACCTTTCGGCTAAACAAACCTAAAAAATAAGAAGGTGGACAACACCTTTCCTTGTTTTGGGGAGGAAAAAAGGGAAAAGGTTTTTTGTTCTCTTCAACACCCGTGGGTGTTGGTTTAATAGAAGATAATTGCCTTTGAAGCAAAAAGAATATAGATAGAGCTCATTTCGGTTTGAAGAAAAGAAGAGAGAAGAGAGAAGAAAGAGCTCCTTTTTTGTAGAGAGCAAGGGAGAATTGCAGAGAGCCTAAAACAGAAGAAGAAGTTGTTGCTTCATTTGATTGGTAATCATCAACCAAAGTAATTGTCGTTGTAATAGCTTTGAGCTATATGTATAGAGAAGAAATTATTCTTTATATTTCTTTCTCTATTTGTTTCATTGGTGTGTGAGAGCTATTGGGTGTATTGGGCTTTTGGGTTGTGAGATTGTCAACACTTTGTAAACTCCCATTTGGTTGATAGTGGATTATTGGTTGAGCTCCTACTGCTCCGAGGACGTACTCCAGTTACACTGACTGTTGAGGAACCTCGTTAAAATCTTGGTGTCTTTTATATTTTGTTCTTGCATTTTCATTTGATAAATTTCCTGTGGGTTAGCTTGAGTTGGTTCCATTTAGTTTGGTGCTATCCTAGCACAACAATTGGTATCAGAGCCCTGGTTGCTCTTGGGTACTGTCTAATTGCCAAAAATGTCAGACGGGCAAGATGAGAATCCTTTTGGAAGCAGCTCCGGATTTGCAAGAACTACGGTGCAAAATGCAAAGTTCGAAGTTGAAAAGTTTGATGGCACAAACAACTTTGGGATGTGGCAATGTGAGGTCAAAGATGTGTTGGCTCAACAAGATCTACTTGCCGCTTTAGGAGAGAAGTCGGAAGCTATGTCGAAGCCGGAATGGGAGAAATTAAATTTGTGGGCTTGCTCTTCAATTCGGTTGTGCCTTGCAAAAACTCAGAAGTATTTTGTGATGCAGGAGACATTGGCAAGTGTGTTGTGACAAAAATTGGAAGACAAGTATATGACGAAGAGTGCAGAGAACCGGCTACACTTGAAGAAAAAGCTCTACCGCTTCCAATACAAAGAAGGTACAAAAATGATTAGACACCTTGATGCTTTTAATAAGTTGATTGCCGACTTGTTAAATTTAGATGAGGATATTAAGGATGAAGATAAGGCCTTAATATTGTTGAATTCCTTGACGGACTCTTATGAGCATTTTGTTACCACTATTATGCATGGTAAAGAAACTGTGAAATTTGAAGATGTGTCAAATGCCTTGATGAATTATGAAATGAGGCATAGAGATAAAAATCATGATAGTACCTCGAAAGCTTTATTTGTTAGAGGTAGATTATCGGAGAGAAGATCATCTTCTAGTAGGAAAAAATCACAGTCTCGACCTAGAGGAAACTCTAAAGGTAGAAAACCTTTGGAAATGGATGAATGTGCCTTTTTTCGTAATAAGGGCCATTGGAAGAAAGATTGTCCTAAATTGAAGACCAAAGGTAAAGAAAGTTCTGAAGCTAATGTTGTTGAAGTTGAAACAGATTTTTCTGATTTTGCTTTAACCACTTCCTCATCATTTGATTGTGCTACTAAGTGGGTGTTGGATACGGGTTGTACTCATCATATGACCCCTCACAAGGATTGGTTTTCAAGCTTGAAAGAGTTTGATGGCGGTGTTGTGTTCATGGGAGATGACAATCCTTGCACAACAAAAGGGATTGGTACAGTTCGTTTGAAGTTGCATGATGGCATGGTTAAAGAGTTGACAGGTGTTCGGTATGTACCGAATTTGAAGAAAAATCTTATTTCTTTGGGAACTTTGGAAGCCAAGGGCTTCAAGTTTCATTCAGATGGGCAGACATTGAAGGTGACTTATGGTGCACTTGTTGTGATGAAAGCTCCTCGATGTGGCCATTTGTATTTATTGCAATGAAGCACTGTGACAGGTGAAGCATCTGTAGTCTCAGAAAATATGGGCACATCCGATTCTAATACTACTAGATTGTGGCATATGAGATTAGGCCATGCCGGTGAGAAAGCTCTACAAGGGTTTGTGAAACAAGGTCTTCTAAAAGGTGTCACGACTTGTAAGCTTAATTTCTGTGAGCATTGTGTCTTGGGGAAGCAAACTAGAGTGAAGTTTGGTACTGCTGTACATCAGACGAAGTGTTGACACTATCAACCAAATGGGTCCCACTATCAACCAAATGGGAGTTTACAAAGTGTTGACAATCTCACAACCCAAAAGCTCAATACACCCAATAGCTCTCACACACCAAAGAAACAAATAGAGAAAGAAATATAAAGAATAATTTCTTCTCTATACATATAGCTCAAAGCTATTACAACAACAATTACTTTGGTTGATGATTACCAATCAAATGAAGCAACAACTTCTTCTTCTGTTTTAGGCTCTCTACAACTCTCCCTTACTCTCTGCAAAAAAAAGGAGCTCTTTCTTCTCTCCTTTTTCTTCAAAACCGAAATGAGCTCTCAATTTTCTATATTGCTTCAAAGGCAATTATCCTCTATTAAACCAACATCCACGGGTGTTGAAGAGAACAAAAAAACTTTTCCCTTTTTTCCTCCCCAAAACAAGGAAAGGTGTTGTCCACCTTCTTTTTTTAGGTTTGTTTAGCCGAAAGGTCTTTTGGACACTTGTCCACTTGGCCACATACTCCAACAATCTCCACCTTGGCCAAGTTCCGAAAGACGCCATGATAAGCAAAAATGCTTCAAAACTCCTACTGCTCAACGCCTTCTTTATATAGGCAAAATGTGAGCCAAGTTCAAGCAATGAATAAACTTGGCTACACCAACAACCTTAGTCAACATATCAGCGGGGTTGTCTTTAGTTGGAATCTTCTGGAGAATGATCTCCCCTTCACCAACTACTTCACGAACAAAGTGATAACGCACATCTATGTGCTTGGTCCTCGCATGATGAACCTGATACTTAGCCAAATAAATGGCACTCTGACTATCACAATGCACCTCCACCTGCTTCTGATCAACCCCCAAATCTCTAATCAGTCCATGTATCCAAATGGCCTCCTTTATAGCTTCAGCAACTGCCATATATTCAGCCTCTGTAGTAGACAAGGTAACAGACGACTGCAAAATGGATCTCCAACAAACTGGCCCTTTAGCCATAGTAAACACATAGCCTGTAGTAGACTTCCTTCCATCCAGATCACCTGCATAATCTGAATCAACATAACCAACAACAAAATGACTAATACCAGAGTCATCCCTCTCAAAGCATAAATCAACATCTTGAGTACCATGGAGATACCTCAATATCCACTTAGCTGCTTGCCAGTGCTCTTTACCAGGATTATGCATATATCGACTCACCATGCCAACTGCATGAGCAATATCTGGTCTAGAGCATACCATTGTATACATCAAACTACCAACCAAATTTGCATATGGTATATTTTTCATTTGCAGCTTCTCCTTATCAGATTTAGGACATTGTAGAGAACTCAATTTAAAATGAGGAGCCAAAGGGGTACTAACCAGTTTAGTTGAATCATGAACTCCAAACTTCCGAATCAACTTCTCAAGGTATTGTCTTTGATTCAAACAAACCAAACCCTTCTCTCTGTCTCTAGTGATCTCCATGCCAAGGATCTTCTTTGCTTCACCAAGATCCTTCATCTCGAACTCATTCTTCATTTGATTCTTTAATTTCTTAATCTCTTCGACATTCTTTGAGGCAATCAACATATCATCAACATATATCAACAAATAAATGAAAAACCCATCTTGCAACTTCTTGAAGTACACACAATGATCATATTGACTTCTAGAATAATTTTGGCCTCTCATAAATTTATCAAACCTTAAATACCATTGTCTTGGAGATTGCTTCAAGCCATAAAGTGATTTC